CCCACAGCGGCCAGCGTGACATAGGGTTCTCCCCAAGACCACGCCGCATGGTGTAACTGGCATGACAGTCTGCTCGTCTGTTGCCGAAGGTCGCCACTCTTGCCCTAGCTGGTGTCCCTTCTTTGGGGCTTCAAAGGACAGGAAGTGGGGTGGGGTCAATATTTGCTCTGTAAAGTGTCCAAGGTGTCTTCCGGCCTAAAATGCTTGTTATGGTGATTTCTCGGCCCTGGAATCCCCGGATTAGGCAGGTAATATAAATTTGAAAGACGAGTACTTGAGAAGTATGAGGCCAGGTTTAGAATTCCTTCCCCAATTTGGCGGGGTGTGACCGGTTCCTTGTTTCCTCCCTGTGGCACTTGGTGGCTTTTCCCTAACCCCACCCTGACTTGTGGGTGAGCCCCTCCTTAGCGTGGCCCCTCTCCCAACCTCACCAGATCCAATGCTTTGTCTCCTCCACCCTCATGGATTTGAAAATTCGCACTTAGCCCTGGCTGGGGGGCTCAGTTGGTTGGAGCATCGTCCTGTACTCCGTGTCACCAAAGAAATGCCCAAACCTGGAAGAATTCTTATGAGTTTACTTGAGCCAAACTGATGACGATTGCTGGAAGCAAAATCTGAACAGAATAAGAAAATGCTCCAGAAAATGGGAAGTTTTACCCCTTCTTTTTATACATTACAATAAGAAAAGAAGCTGTAACTGGATTGCATGAACTCCATTGGAGGTGGATTGGGCAGGTGGGAGAAAGCAAAGGGCGGGGTTCCTCTGGGACTGGATACAAAGTAAAATGATGGACACGTGCCTCTTTTGCATTGTGGGTAAGGGACAGTTAACAACAATTAACACGATAACAATAACAATGAGGCGATTTGTGGTTTCCCAGTGCTTGGGCCTGTGCTTTGAGGTGTCCTGAAAAAGGAAATTTGACCTTCCAAAGTATATTACCATAGATGCAAAAAAAACAATAGACAGGTTCAGTTAAGGTAAAGATTGACTTTGGTCAGGGAAGATTCTAGCCTAGGACATTGAAACCAGGAAAGCCAGCATTCCTGCTGCCTGTCACCCACCAGGCCAGCGAGCAGAGACAGGGACTGAATATTTACGGCCGCTTTATTCTGGTGGCTGGTGATCTGGGAAGACGGTTTTGGGGGGGTGGGGGTTCACGCCCCACAAGACCGTCTTAAATTCCATTTTAAACCAACCCTTTTTGTAAGGAGGAGAAAAGCGTAGGTTATGGGTTTGGAATTCAGGGAAAAAGTTGATCAGATAAAAGCCGCAGCATTCTTTCACCTGTGCCCTGGGCAGTGAGCGTCTCAGCCTGCAGCACAATGGCTGAGATGCCATCTTGATCGCTTGAGACCTGGAGGGGGGGGGGGGGCGGCACACGGGTGGAACTGCTCTGGTCTCCTGGAGTCAGGGTGAGTCATACCTTCAGTTCCTGGAACAATAGCTTTTTACATACAGGGATTAGTGAGCTTCTTAGCTGCTACCTGAAATTACAATGTTTCCCACGTGTGAGTCCCCCATCGATAGGACTGCCCTCCATGACCTGGTTTTAGTTAAAAAGTTGTTAATTTCAGACTGCCCTACGCAGTTACGTTAGGTCTCTGAGTTTGTAAAGCCACCATGCAGGCCTCCCCTGAGCTTGTCAGGTTTAGTGTGTGGCCCCTTTTCATCCACAGCCAAAAGTTTGTGGGCTCGATCCCCTCTCCGGGCACATACCTAGGTTGTGGGTTTGATCCCAGTTGGGGCTTTTAACAGAGGCAACTGCTTAATTTTTCTCATGCTGATGTTTTCTCTCTCTCAGTCTCTCTCTCAAACCACGAACCACATCCTCGAGTGAGGATTTTTTGTGATTCGCACTTACAAATTAAGAAACCAGCAGCTTCCCAGGGCCGCCACGCTGTCAGCTCTCTTCACTCTTGTTCTCATGTCTCTATATTTGGCCCCTGGGGATACCCCTCATATTCTTGAGATGCTGCCACACGTAGAAGGTACTAGTGGCATCTAATTAGGCATTTCTAGGTGTGTATAGTAGTGTGACAAGGGGAACTACTCGGCCTCCCTGACTCCATCTGTTCAGCCTGCGTTGTCCGCCACGGCCTGCAGGCTGATGGCTATAGCACCTGCTTCGTCTTGCACAGAGACAGGTAAACATTAGAGGAATTCTGCTTGGCTTGAGGAGATAAGGGACGCATGTGTTGTTTATCAAAGATTTGCAGGAACTAGACTCACACCAACTAGCACAGTCTTCCTCGGACCCCTGGCGGCACCCAGATGTCTTCAGCGTTCACTGCGTCGTGCCTCTTCCGTTTCTCCTTCCTTTGGCGTAAAGGAAGCCTGACTGTGCTTTCGTAATACGTGTGTGAGGGGTCACTAGGGTTCCCATCTTCATCAGGGGGCACTTTCTCAACCAATAGTCCTTTCCTTACTCCAAACTCGGACATTTTGTTCTGGCTTTTCAACGTGTGAGGCCCACTAACTTTGGACAGGTAACAGTAGGTGTCAACATAAGAATGTCCAAATGTATAGAGAATTGTTACGAGTTGATTCAAGACAAACTAACAACAGTTGCAGGGAAGCAAGATCTTAAATGCTCCCAAGAATGACAGTTTGCAGTTTCTTTGTTGCATTTGAAATTAAGGCGGGAACAAGGACCATTACATGGGGTGGGACTGAATTACAACATAGTTAACAAGATTAGTTACCAAGATTATGTACTTGCCAGAGGATAGTTAGGCTTATTTCAAAGGTATGTTAATCTAGATGCACAAAAACAATGGACAGGGCTTGCTTAAGGCAAAAATAGACCTTGTACTAAAAACGTTACATTCCTAGGGTGTGACTACCTACCATGACCTGTTCACTTTGGAATCTATGATCAGTTCACCCTGTGCGGTTACTTTCTGTAGAACGCTTTTTTTACCTACACAGGAAAAGTTGGGGGTTTTTGCATTTTTTCCAATCTACCTCATTACCTGGAGCAGAAGAGGGGAACTCTTTGTTTTCTTGGTAAACGTTCTAGACCCAATTCCAAATTGTATGGGGGAGGGGTGGGTTTTCCCACAACAAGCATTTGTTGTGCACCAGCTGGGTGTCCTACCATTCACTTCAACTCTGATGCTCTCTACCCAGAGACAGAGTCAGATCCCACAGAGGACGGGCTCAGTTGCACAAGGCTGCTCACCAACCTTCGGACACCAGGGACAAGCCCAGGTTGTCACCTGTACTTCCAACCAACCCCCGTAGATTAGAGGTTCCAATGAGCGCTCCCCTTAGGCTTAATTAACTTCCTAGAGGGGTCACAGAATGCAGAGAAACATTCACTTATTAGCTCACTGGTTTATTATAAAAGAGTATAATTCAGAAATAGCCAGATGGAAGAGATGTGTAGGGCAAGGTATGGGGAAGGGGTGAAGAAGCTTCCATGTCCTCTCCAAGCACCGCTCTCCCCAGATCTCCATGCCTTCGCTAACCTCAAGCCCAAAGGCTTTTCAAATCCTTTTGGGAATTTTCTGTTATCATGTTAGCCAGTACATTTAGGAAAAGCGAGGGAACCGGTTTCGCCTGCGCCTTGCTGTTGCCTAGTGTATCCTCCGGTCTGGACGGAAAGGAGTGTGGATCGATTACCGTGACAAAGTTCCTCCCCAGAAACCTCCCTGAGCCCTCCAGCTCTCCTATAGCAAGGGCTTCCTGCCTCTCCTTGGGCTCTGTTCTCCGTTTCTCATTCGTCCTTTCAATTTACCAACATCCAACTTTCTGAAACCTAATCGCGGTGGTGATGGGGGGTTTCGTGGTGGCTCACTCTACTCCTGATGCTAACTCTGGTGTTTTAATCGGGGGATGAATTAGCGAGAAGAGTCCAGTCACATACAGGTATACCCGCAAATGACTCTCTCTCAGGTAAGATTAAATTTCCAATCTAATTAACCAGGGAGAAGAAAATCCGACCTGAAGTGGGGCGGCCTGTGGTGGCCTGTGAATCAAATATTTAATGGAACCTAAACAGGCATCTGGTGGCCATTCCACCACTTATACCGGGACCTCGCCTCAGCAATGCAGGAAGAATTGCACCAACAACTACACAAGTCTCTCCACTTTAAAAAAAAAAAATTTTTTTTTAATATTTTATTTATTTATTTATTTATTTATTTATTTTAGAGAAGGGAAGGAAGGGAGAAGGAGAGGGAGAGAAACATCAGTGCGCAGTTGCATCTTGTGCGCCCCCTACTGGGGACCTGGCCTGCAACCCAGGCATGTGCCCTGACTGGGAATCGAACCAGCAACCCTTTGGTTCTAAAGCCGGCACTCAACCCACTGAGCCACACCAGCCAGGGCTCGCTCCCCTTTTTGAAACTAAATATCATTAAAGCCACATGGTTATTGTATTATAGGAACAGGGCATTCAAATAAGAAGAATTGGTGCCCAGAATTATCTTTGCCTTAAGCTTTTGAACCTGCAAAAAGCCTGTCCCTCCAGTGTAGCCTCTAGTACCGTGGTGACTTTAAAAAAATGGTTGAATATTGAGGCCAATTCTCCCAGGGCCTAAATTACACTTCCTGGATGAAATGAACACCCTGCAGCAATTAAAATTCTTGTATTAAGGTTCATGACCAAACTCCACGGTTTTACGTGTGTCCACCTCCCCTACCAGGTAATTAAAGACCATCGGGGAGGGACTAATTTTTATACCTCCCCATTTCCCTGGTCGCCCAATGTAGTGCTTAGAGGTATGAAGTCTTCACAGATAATAACCTCTGGCTTTCACTTAATCAAGAGTGATAATTAAACTCTAATAGCGGTCAGAGGCATCCCTGAGTAGCGTGGAGTGGTATCTATTGTCTCCTCAAAGGATACTATTTTTGTCTTAAACAATAGCTTAGTAGCTGAAAGAGGTCACGAGACTCCCTAAAGTGCTCATTTTTTAACCACTAACATAATCGGGGGCACTATGATGAATGACATTACACTCAGTGCCTTTTCCTATATTTTACCTAATAGATCAAAAAATTGGCAACGTACGTGGTTGCTGCTGGACTCCAGTACGGAGCGGAAGGAGGCATCTTACACTTTTTTTTTAAGGTACGACTTGTCAATGACTATGAGGGTTTTTTACTACTGGTTTACAGTAAGGCCATGCAATTTTAAGGTATTTCTGATTGCTTCTGCTTGCGGCTATGCCCGTACAATGGCTGAGAGCTCGGGGAAACACAGGTGTAGACCACAGCCACCTGCTTTCCTCTCCCATTGTTAACAACTTGCGGTCACCACTCAGGGTAATGAAGAAAAAGATGGATCTCTCATTCAAAGACATCAGGCTTGTGTAAGCATTTTCTTCCTACAAAGGTACCATGCCGATGACTGCTAAAGACAGCTGATGAGAGTATAGACTCTTGACAAGTACTTCAACTCTGGGGTTACACTCTATTCATCTTTTTTTTTTTTAAGTTTTATTTATTTTCAGACAGAGGGGAAGGGAGGGATAAAGAGAGGGAGAGAAACAGAGAGGGAAACATCACTGCGTGGTTGCCTCTCAAGCACCCCCTACTGGGGACCTGGCCCGCAACCAAAGCATACGTTAGGAGTGGATATCAAACTGGTGACCTTTGCTTCACAGTCCAGTGCTCAGTCCACTGAGCCGCACCATCCAGGGCTACACTCTAATCATCTTAACAGGATTGGATACATCTCATCAGAATGGATTTACCAAACAGCTCTTTGGTGCTTCATTTGCATCAGACAGACAGACCCCTTGGGTGCCTCTGAATATAGCGCTGTATGAGACCAGTAGTAATCATACACATGTAATGGAGGAAATAACGCTTGTGCTTTTCTCTCTTTTAGTTAGCGTGGATGGGTGAGGTTCCTGCATTACCAGTGTTTGGGGATGGATCGAATATAATTCCAACAATTCATGTCCTTGATCTAGCAGGGTAAGAATTCTCCCAGGGATATTGCTCCCCGCCAACTCATTGACCAATGCATTTGTTTATAAGCGAACATTTACTGAGCCCTTACCGAGCACTAAGGATTTTGCACGTATTACTGTGTTTACTCTTCACAACAAAGCAGTGCAGAAGGTATGGTTATGATCTCCATTTTGCCTCTGATGAAATAGTCCCCGCCATCCAAAAGCTCCACGCTTCTGATGGCATGTTCAGGCTCACCCTTTAAAAACTTTATCAGCAGAATAGCATGTCTTCCCATTCTGGGAAAGAAGGAGCTTGTTCTGTGCCTTCTGGGCACCTAGTGTTCTTATTCTTTTGTCCCAGGCGAGACTGGTCTGCCCAGCCCGCCAATTTAAATTCCAGAAATCAGATAACGAACTCTAAAGCCGAAGTGGGTTTCTTGGGCAACTGTAGGCAAAGTTACCGCATGTTTTTCACACTCTCTGAGTATCCAAGCCTTGGGCCCCAGGCAGACCCAGAGACCGCGCCCCTTCTTTGCAGACCCTGACTTGAACACGAGCCACATGAAGGTTGCCTGTATTTGTGGTTCATCGTGTCTACATTTCGGGTTCCAGGGGCTTTGTTTTACTGCCCCTTCCACTCATTCCCCTTCCCCAACCCCTAACTGAGTTTCAGCTCTTCCCTGAGAGTCTGGCTTCTGGATTCTACCCTTTCTCTCCTGCGCTGGCCACAAGCTGGTCACAGTGCCAGGCAGATTTGCAAATTTACTGGGGAAGCTTATACTTTAGGACCGCCCACCCCACCCCCCCGCCCTGAAAGAGCCTCTTCCAAGGCCCTAAACTTAAATATTATTATTTTTCTTAAAGAAGGATCCCCTGAATTGTGTAAGCTTCAGGCTCCACACCAAACCCAGGTGTGTTTCAGCTGGCATTCACACTTGGCGTGGCAGCGCTGAAAGTGCCCTTCTCTTCTGCATTTTCACATTATCAGCTTTTTAAGATGCAGAGAGATATTTTCCATTATTAAGAAAAAATACGTAGCATTAATCCTTACCATCTTACTTCCAAACAGGTAAATTAGAGTTAAATTATTCCCATTGCAAAAGGACTCAGTAGCATTTTTCTCCCACAGATTTCTTCTAAGATTGTCAAATATTTAACAAGGAAGAAACTAAAGAAAATCATGTTCTGAGAAATTAATATAAATGATACGAAATGGGCATTTCGATGTATGTGTTTGTTTTATTTTTATTTTACTAAAAAAAAGAGTTTAAATGGAGGTAGAATTGATAGTCCTGTGTCAGACTTCCAGTCGCTGTTGTTCCTCTCTGGAATTCTTTCATTTTTACTCAAATCCCTGCTCTGCCTCTCGCCGGCTGTGTGAACCTGGGACAGTTACCTAACCACTCTGTGTCTGATTTTCTCATTTCTAAGAAAAGGATAATAATAGCGCCTACTTGGTCAGACCGTTCCGGGGATAACGTCTGTGGGCAGCCATTGCTAATCCAGGGTGGAAAACCCTAGGCCCAGGCCCTGGAGCTGTGCGACTCCCTTAAAGCCACGGCTTCCCCGACTCTGTGTCGACTCCGTGCACCCCCTGCCCCAAATGTCTTGTGTATTCAACAAGCCTCTGAGCGGGCAGACTTCACAGCCTGCGGACCTGCGGGGTCAGGTACTGTCTGATGAACCACCCGGCTTCAAATCCGGCAGCCCTGCAGCCGGCGAGGCATCACGTACCTCTTCGCCGGCATCCCCACCTGTAGCGTGGCCCATCCCCTGGATCGTGACCTTGTTGGATGTGAAGTGACATAATTTACTAAAACGCCGAGCACCTTGGAGTGGGCGCAGGGGGGAGGTGGCCAGTGAATTCCAATCCACTCCATCTCTTTGGCTCTTTCTCTCTGGTGCCATTCCCTGTTGGCCTGCAGAGTGATACAAAACATAATAGACCACGTGCCGAAGCTTCATTACCTGGTTGCTGTGGACGAGTCTATCCAGACCCTGGAAGACTTAGTCAAGGTACAGCTATTTTATTCCATATTTGATAGCATTTCTTAAATCGTTTTATGCCTAAAGTACAGTTAAGGGATCAGGTGTGCTAATAGGGCTGGGGACTCCTAAAGAACTGGGTTGGCCAAAAAGTCTCTATGGTTTTTTTCCATAAAATAAAAGACATATTTTTCATTTTCACCAATAACTTTATTGATTTGGGTATTTTGCGTATGTTGACTATCTCCCTCTATTGGCTTCTAGTGGGTAGAGGTTAGGGTGCTGCTTAACATTTTCCAATGCATAAACAGCCCCATGGCAAAGAATTATTTGGCCAAAATGTCAGTAATACCAAGAAACTTCGCAAACCACTTTTGACCCGTTCAATCAGTCACAGCACCTTCTCCATACACTGCACAAATCTTTTTTTGCATTTCAGTTGCGTTTTTACCTTTCTTGAGATAAGAAGGCATAACATGCTGAAAATGCTGCGTATTTTCTTCCACCCTCAATATTAAAATGTCTGCACAAAAATTCACCAATTTTGATAAATTTTTTTTAAAACACACGCTGATATGACAGCTGTCACAATACAATTGGAAAAATTGTTTCCAATGAAGTAAAAGACAATGAAGCTGCTAGAGCCATTGTACAGAAAAAAACATAATGGACTTTTTAGCTAACCCAATAGAATGTCCATAAAACCAAACTCCCCATGTGGCCTTACAGTAAAGTGTAGGCAGGTTACAGCCAAAATGGCCTTTCTCCAGTGCCGGCTTGAAGGGCAACAGGAAAGACCACTGGAGGGCTAGACCCACACAAATCACTCACCAGAATGCTACAATGGGCTTGCCTCAGTGTATTGATCATTAGGTTCTCCAAACCAGCTGGCAGCTTCCAGGAGCTCTGGGTCTGTCGCGTCTCCTCTCTAGTCCAGGCTGCCCTGGCCAAAGCCACCTGTCACCTCGGAGCCCAGCTAACCCTCTCCTGCCCTTCCCCTCATCTTGAAGATACAGCTCAACTACCTTCCTCTGCACCCTCCCTGCCTCCTTCCCGCAAAGGCCAGATGTTTCTTCCTTACTCCCAGCATCCCCTTTGTAAGCTGCAAATATTACACATCTGTGTGCACACATCTGCCTCCCTGTTCAGAGGGGGAGCTTCTTGAGGGCAAGAGTCGGGCCTTTCTCATCCTTATCTCTAATCCCTGGCATGCAATGGTGATCGTTAAATAAGTGAATGAATATCTTAGTGCATTCCCCTCTGTTTTGCAATTTTGTTTGTATTCAGTTATGCTGGCATTCATTTGAGAACTTTTATATTAAACTCGTACTGGTAAACCAAATAATACTTCTATTTTTCTTTAACAGTGCATCAGTAAATATATTGGACCTGGGAAAATCCAGAAAGTACCCAAAGAAAATGTTTTCCTAACCAAGGAATTAACAGTTAGTATATAAGATATTCTTTTTTTTCCTACACTTTTCCTAAATAGAGTGGTTCCTGAGGAGTTTGGAGTCACAATGCCTGGCTTCCAAGCTCCTGCACAACTAGCCATCTGCCCAGAAGCAACTTTCTCTGCTCTTCTGCGAGCCCATTTTCTGTTCTGAAAAAGTGTCGGAGAACATGGTCAGAAAGTGTATTTGAAAGCTCTCTGGCCCTGGTTGGTGTGGCTGAGTGATTTGAGTGCCAGCCTGCGAACCAAAGGGTCACGGGTTCGATTCCCCTTCGGAGCACATGCCTGGGTTGTGAGCCAGCTCCTCAACTGAGGGCATGTGAGAGGCAACCAATTAATGTTTCTCTCACATATCATTGTTTCCCACATCATTGTTTCTCTCCCTCTCCTTCTACCTCCCTTCCCCTCTTTCTACAAATAAATAAATGAAATCTCAAAATAAAAAGCAGATACAGTAGGTGGTGGGCACCAAGTACAATATACAGATCATGTATCATAGAAATGTACACTTGAGACCTATGTGATCTTCTTAATCAATGTCACCCCAATCCATTTAATAAAAATTTTTTTTAAAAAAATTGATTCAGCTGTCAAGGAAGAGGCAAGATGATGTAAGCTGTAGGAATGAGGTAATTTATGAGATTTTGGAGAGTTTTTAGCTTGATTGTTCAGTAATATCTGGAAGAAGGTCAAGGAAGAAAACTCTATACATGTAATTTTTTAAATTAAATGGTTTCTTAAAAGGGCAGTTGGGTATGGATGTTAGAAATCAGCTGAATAACATATTGGTCTGATGTGGGGTATTGTTCAGAGCAAAGGAATACATTTACTGAAATCCAGAAAAAAAAAGGTAGATACAATTAAAGCTTTTTAAGAAGAAACCTTATATCTGGACTTCCATTGTGTTCCTACTCTGAGCGGCTGTACAAGGGCCTAATGCCGCCCCTCCCCAGAGCGCAGGTGTGGGGAGAGCGCAGAGGGGTCAGAGGGTCACGGCAGGCTCTCCGTCAATACTTACTGACCGTCAGGGTCAGTGAATGGGTACCTTTTTTCCTTTAATAATAATACATTTTGGTCCATTATAACCATCAAAATATAAATAAAGAGACAAACCTCTAACATGCCTTTATCTCTTAGCAAGAGAGTATTGACCACTTGCTGGTCAACCTGAGAATGGAAGCCGTGTTCGTGAAGGAGAATTTTAACATTCGCTGGGCTGCCCAGACAGGGTTTGTGGAGAATATCAACAGCATCCTCAGAGAGTACAGGCAAAGCAGAAGACTACTGGTAACTATAACCATTTCCTATTTTGACTTTGAGTGTAATTCTATCGATGAAAGTATTTCCTTTCTGAAATGTCCAAATTTCTACATTCAAGTTCTTTTTCAAGCATGACCCACTGGTCCAGGTCTAACAGCCTGCACGTGTATTATACTAATATACTAATACTGTCAACTGAATATTAGAAATGTTAAAGTCAACAGAGACAGAGACTGCTATGCTTGACACACATTGAACATGACAGTAAGCTCAAGACTGTCACAGAGTTGTCTACATAAGGAAACACATCTGGCGCCTCACTGGCCTGCTGGTCTCAGTTCTGCATCCACACATGAGAAAGGGGAGGGAGGAGGTGGAAGAAGCCTCGATATCACTTTGATCCTATTGACCAGGAGGTTCACTGGTCATTATAATCATCACAGCTTTTGAAGGCAGACATTCTTACCTCCAAATTGTCGACATGAAAGCCAAGACTCAGAGAGATGGGGTGAGTCTTTCCAGGCCACACGGCCAGCTGGGTGTTCTCACCTGCTGGGATGCCCACTTAGCTGGGTGGCCTCGCTGAGGAGCCTTCGCGCCCCCTCTCTGAAATCTGGTCACGCGGCACTTGCCTAGATCTTTGGATTTATTCCAGGGAAGCACCACAAAGGTGACAGTGAGCACTGCATGGGACAATGACTGGAAAACTGTAGTGTTTCCTATGAGTGACGGGCACTGTCATAGTTGTAATTACCGCTGTGCATGGGGTACTTCATACCAGCAAGTACCGTGTCACCGTTCTATCTGAAGAACCCTATTTTCCTGAAAAACATGCCTCATTAATAATGAGTAAAGGACGTAGCACTCAGCAAAAGAAACAATGACCCTTTTCAGCATCCAAGGCACCTGTGCTGACTTCCTTGGGGACCATTCTAAGGCACAGACCCACCCAACTCAAGAGGTTAAGACTAGTGTTTCCTCTGCAAATCAACTGTACTATGACACACAATTAAAGATAAGACACTTAGAAGAGGCCATGTGGTTCCTGATTAGCAAGACTGGCCAAGAACATGATAGAAGGAATGAGCATATCTACAAATTTCACAGCCGATCCATCCCTGGGGGCACGGATCAGCGCGGCAGCATAGAACAGGAAACACTATGAGGGCACTGTGTAGGCAGAGCGAGAGGAGTGATGTCCAACACAACAGAGCCTCGAGCCCAGGGCTCCCACCGTTCCAGCTCCTTAGCAAAGCCAAGCCGCCCTGGCTGCAGAGCCATGTGCACCAGTCCAGCGCGACCTGGTATTGAGCAGGCCATTCATCTTGCTCAAAGCGCACCAAGTGCCCATCCACGCCCGTCTGCCCCGAGGGGGTAAATGTACCGCGTGTACTGGGACTGTCCTCAGTTCAGTGGCAGTCATAGTTCTCATTATAATGAATAAACTGCCAGGCAGGGTTTGTACCTGGATAAGGTGAGCTCAGCCCAGAACATAGATCTGCCCTGGGTATGCCCATAGAACTAGGCACGCGAAGCTGCTCAGGTGAGAGCTGGACTTCAGGCCTTGTGAATGCGCCCGGCCACCCAGCAGCCCAGCCTTGCTCATCGAGACTCCGCTCAGAGTTGCTATGCCTGACACCAGCTCCCCTCGCCCCCGACACGGCTGCTGCCTGCCATCTTGATCATTACCGTCCACCTGAAAGTGCCCCTCACTAACCAGACGGGACCGTTCACGTCCACCACGCCTCACCCAGCACCACACGATGTCTCTGCTCATTTCCTCATGGCCTCGGTTTCCCCATCCACAACGGGTAATAACAATAATAATAACCAACTTCCTGGATGAAATTATATCATCTTTAAGCACATGGACACTCTGCCAGTGGACGTTCTTTTCATTGGCATGATTTTTTAAAGCCATTTTGAAAAGTAAAAAATGTTTTTAATTTGCCTTGCAAAACACTAGCCCTCGGCGTCACAACTGTTTGGAGCACTTTGAAAGAAATGACTATTTCCTGCTGATGTCTGTATTTCTGTTAGACGTCAGCATTTACTCACTGGTGGTGAATGTGACAGCGCTTCTTCAGCTTTCAAGCCAGTTTTTTAGCAGAAGAAATGGTATCATTTTAATGAGTGTGTCTTTAAAAAGTAGAGTGAATTACCGGTGTTAAAAAAGAAAGTATAATTAAAGACCAAATTCAGTCCAGAAACAACATTCATGAGGCAATAAATTACGCACTATCTACGCCAGACCAGAAATTCTTCAATTTCTTTGTTATCTTTACGAGAGTAACACAATAAACTGTGAAACCGGCCGCATGTTGTGCTTGAGTGCTCGTTTTTTTAATACTTTCGAGGAGCAGGTACGGGAGGGTCATAACCTCCCCCCACCGCCCGCCCGCCGGCCCCAAGTCAGGGCACAGAATAGATGCTCGGTAAGTACTTGGAGAGAGGGACTCAGGAGTCAGCCTTGCAAGACCTGAAGACTCAGAAAGGCTCGCCTCTGAAGTAACACGCTCTTTGTCCAGCCACAGGTCATTCAGGGCTCTCTAGGCGTAGTTGGTCTGAAGGCTGTGGGTTATTGTTAACCTGATTAACAGAGCTCACTAGGTGGTCTTCTTTCTCCTCTTTCAGCCCATTAAGATTTGCATTCTCGGTCCTCCGGCAGTGGGGAAATCCAGTATCGCAGAAGTATTGACCAAGTACTACAAACTACATCACATTAAACTGAAGGACGTCATTTCTGAAGCCATAGCAAAACTGGTATCCCTTTTAACTACTTTATTGGGAATTTTTGTATTTTAAAAATGCTTTTTATTTTTATAGGACACCCTACAAAGAGATTTGTTACTTTAATTGGATTTTATTGTTGCCCCCACTTAGGAAAACACTGAATCCCACAGGGCTTATGTCTCCGAGATGGAAGCATCTTTCATGAGTGGACCGTGAAATTTAGTGCATCCCCAGCTGTTTGGTCAAAATATATCTTGTATTCTCCCTGTTGCCTGGAAGCTTTTCTATTTTCTATTTTTATTTTTTATTGTTGTGGTGTTTCAGCTGTCCTGCTTTTCCCTTGTTGCTCTCCACTGCCCTGCCCCACCCTCAATGGGACCTTTTTAGGGTGTTTTTATTCTAGATGTCTGTTTCTCAGGGTATTGTCAGACCGTTCATTTATTTACTCAATACTTTTTTAAAAGAAAGGCTTTATTTTCTCAAGCAGTTTTAGGCTCATAGCAAAACTGAGAGGAAGGTTCAGGGGCTTCCCGCAAGCCCCCCGCCCTGCCCCCGGCAGGTGATCAGTGAGGAGCAAACCGGCCCAGGCATCATCCAACTGCAGGACCCGTGTGTGTGCAGGAGGCAACGGTGGCGCCGAAGTACGGGGTGGAAGGAGAAGAAGAAGGTGAGGAGGAGGAGGAAGAGGAGAACGTGGAAGACGCGCAGGAGCTCTTGGACGGCGTCAAGGAGAGCATGGAGCAGAACGCAGGTGACAGGCACACCCAGGGCCCGGGGCGCTGGCCTGGGTAACGCTGTTCTTTTGTTTGGTTTTGTTCTTTCTCCCCCAGGTAACAGTGCAGAATTGTTATTGTTTAATTTATTTTATTTTTCTAACTTAGTCTGTAAGTCTTTCTGGTTTTTTCCTCCTTGGTATAAAAAACTATTTGTTTGTTATTATAAGTATAGAAATTACAACCACCGCAAAGAAATTTCATTTATAATTCCACCCCCACCCCCAAAAAGTCACCATTAATATTTTGGCGATGGATCATAAATGGGAAAGAACTACCTAAGTTTAAAAAAAAAATCAAATGTTTAGTCATAAATATTCTATAAACGTCAAAGATCATTAACTAAAAGACAAAGGACAAACCAGAAAAAGATACTTGCTACCAATATGAGAGTTAATATTCCTAACATATAAAATACTCAGACAAACTAATAAGAAAATCATTAAGCCCGGGCTGGTGTGGCTCAGCTGGTTGGGCATCGTCCCACAAACTGAAAGGTCGCAGACTCAGTCCCCAGTCAGGGCACAGGCCTGGGTTGCAGGTCCCCGGTTGAGGGCGTGCGAGTGGCAACCGATGGATGTTTCTCATGTTGATGTTTTACCGCCCTCTCTTTCTTCCTCCCTTCCCCTCTCTTTAAAAATAAATAAATAAAATAAAAATCTTTTAAAAGTTAAAAAAAAATCATTAAATCCTCAACAGAAAATAAAGTTGACGAATAACGTGAACCCATAACTAATGCAGGAAGAAATACAAGTCAGTGGGAAAATATTCCTGCTCATGTTTGGACATAAGAAACATCTAAACCTGGAGCGAATCTTCGTAAGGGTTTGAGCCAAACTGTCGACACACGCCCAAGAGCAAGATCTCCAACGCTCTGCAGACTAACAGCTTGCAGCCTCTTTTGTGCATCGGAGATTAAGGGGAGAATGTCAGGAAGGTCACACGGAGGTGGGAGGAAACCAGGTGGGGATTGGATTACAGGAGAGTTAACGAGATTATGTGCTCTCTTGAGGGTTAATACCCCCTTCCAGGGGTATTGCTGTACTCCTGGCATTTCAACCTAGATGCACAAGAACAATGGACAGAGCTGGCTTAAAATCTTACACTCAGAAGTTGTGTTCCTGGGCCATGACTACCCACCATGACCTGGCCACTTAGGAATTTGTGGTCAGATCTCCCTGCAAGGTTGCTTTCCATGGAATCTTTTTTTTTTTAATCCACACTCGCTTGGCAATTTTAACCAGTTCGTTGGACAAAGTCGTCACAGTTAAGTGTCACCATAAACACAAAATCTGGACTGACTTTTTCCCCACCCTGGGATGGAGTCTAAAGCTGGTCCCACTGCAACCCGAGACAGTAAGTAGCTTCATTGTTTACTCATGTGGTAAGAAGGCTGTTCAAATAATCACAAACTGGGTTTTGAACTGAGGTGTTTCTAAGGCAGCTTGTTACCCAGCAGGAAAACCATCAGTGAGCAGTTATTAGAAAAATCAAACCATTTCATTTTCACACTTAGCCGGTGGAGCTCCCTCATCAATCTTGTTGTACTAAGTACCGTCTACGGACCAGCCCAACAGTACGGACTCGTGTGCTATGGCGAGTTTCTCCCCTGGCCTCTCATCCAGCACCTTTGGTTTCTCTTCTCTCTCGACTTCACTCATCTTGCTGGTGGCCATTTTTGATCCCCTACGGCTGGACTGGGGCCGGGGGAGCTGGGGAAGGACAGAGGCGTGAACTGGCCCAGGGTGACAGGCGGCCTGAGTGCTTGTGCCCTCTCCTGGTGCAGTGCTTCTGTGGGCCACTGGGGTGCCCCCTGCCCTACCCTAAGGCACTGCTCTCGAGTGCCCGCCCGTGCTCTGGTCTCCTGGGCCTCCAACCTTTGGTGCTCCAGGCCACCTTCTTCCTGGCCACTCAACTTTAGTGACTCCTGTTTTGCCAAGCCCGCCTGAAGCCCAGGCTACTACCCCCTCTGCCGTCTCCTCCCCTCCTCCCCCAGGCCATGCCAATCTGGCTTTCAGTGGCAGAGAAAACAGTCTTGTTAGCATGCACTGAATGGCCAGTTAAACCAGCTTGGTTTCTGCTTTGGTGCTGGAGGAAGTGGAATTGAGAGCCCCAGAGAGATTTCTTAGAGTGAAGGGAAGGTGTGCGGAAGACACAGATTAACACTTGGAGCTGCGGCCCTGCCTCTGCCTCAGCCGGGAGCCGCTGGGAGCCACGGTCCTGGGTTAGGGTCTAACAGAGTCCTGGCTCCCAGCATTCAGGGGAGAGGAAATAAACCCAAGACAAGACATTCCACGGTGCGGACATCTGTGGAAGGAAATCTGGCGAGGCCACATTAAAGGGGGAGGAGCATTTGGTATCTTGCTTTCTGACATGTCATCAGTTTGGCTCAAATCAACTCTTATAAAAATTGTCTAAAAAAATAAAAAATAAAGGATGGGAGGCTGGGATTTTAGGAATCCACAGGTGTACGTGACCACATGTACATAGACTTTAAGCCCGGGGTGTAGGGAACAGAGAGAGGGCACTGGAGGCAATGAAAAAGGCCACCCCCTGAACAGAGACAACAGCCTCTAATATTCAAGCTCACCAGAAGAGACAAAACATTGGACAATGTTTATCAACAGAGACCGATGTAATAGGTCTTTGCAAGGACCCAGAAGTCTTATCCAAGGACTTTATGTAACAGGATGGTGTGACGTACCAACTGGGCTCTTTTCAAGCCTGGGGAGGTGACTGTATAGAAGAACTACAGCGGAGACCGTGCCAAGTTGAGAACAGTCAGTGCATTTCCCAAGCTCAAGAAGGGCCTGTCCTTGGCCGGAGAAGGCTCTGTTCTTCCCAGATGCAAGAGGCCAAACTGGGTCAGCAGCCTTTGTCTGGGGGGACCAGCGGGGGGGGGGATGGCCTGGGACGGGGCAGAGGACGTGGTCTTTGGGCGAACGGAACGTCTCAGCAAGCACGTGTCCCTCCCCTCTCCCCTTTGCCCACCTACCCACCCACTTCCTATGAGACTGGAAGAGTTCCTCAGTCCCCTCAAGTTTGTCCAAAAATCCTTCCTGGTCATATTTACCAGAAACTAGGATGTAGACCTTGATTATGTTTGAACAAAGCCAGGCCTTGGAACCCACCACCCAGGCCCAAGTAGAAATCTCCCAGCACGAGGACGCGGAGGCGCTAACCCAGTCTGTGATTATGTGAGTCTCACGTCTCCAACAAGACAGATTTTGCAGCCCCGCCGTGGCACCCCCTTGTCCTGTTCGTATACAACGCCCGTCCCATCAGGCCCTGGCCCTGCAGCTGAAGCGGGGACTCGTTCAACCTCGCAGCTCGCTCACAATAGACCCTCTTTGCTCGCTTTGTATACTTCTGAAGTGTGGTGGAATTGCTAAGTCTAGCTGGTACGATGCCAGGCGGTCAGTCAGTCAGTAGACTGTTTCAACTATTCTGTGAATCCGAAAATAAAAAACATTGGGAAGAAAAACAGGTAAATGGATCAACTTCACACTGTCTGTACTGTGCGGATTAATGAAAACCTTGGTATTTACATTTTTTGAGATTTTTTAATATTTTTTTCCTCGTAAGAATGCTTCCCCCTGCCCTGACCAGTGGGTCAGTTGGTTGGGTATCATCCCACAGAGCAAAAGGTCACCAGGTCGATCCCCGGTTGGGGCACATGCCTGGGTTGTGGGCCAGGTCCCCAGTTGGGGCACATGCGAGAGTATCTCCCACACACCCAAGTGCCTCTCCCTCTCTCTACAACTAAATAAATACAGTATTTTAAAAATCATGCAATATCTGGCTTTGAAAAATAAATAAATTTTACTGGTATTTCAAAGGTAGACTTAAATTTCTTTGTAGAAGCAGTGTCGTGTGTTAAGGCTGTCTGGTAGGGCTGTGCTCACTCATCTTAAAGGAGAAGCGACGGTCCCTTTCCAAGGAGCTCAGCACCAGTGTATCTCTAGGAGGTCACAGTGCCCTGGAGAAAGGCGCGCCCCTGTGTGCTCACAGCCCACAATCACCCCCACCTGCTCCGGGGGGGCCCTTCTCCCGCCCTGAATGTCTCTGCTGGGAGGCGAACAGAAACGAGTGGCGGAGCTCACTGCCGGCAGTGAGCCACGGCACGCAGGGCGGCCCGGACGCGGGGATCCTGACGGCGCACCTTTGCTTCTCCAAGGGAGCTTTGAAAACTGAAAGGAGGAGGCTCAGGCGACACCTGTCTTTGGATACTAGCGAATCCCCCGACTTTCAAAAAACATGGGTCTTTATGTCTTTGCGCCATCGGGAACCTTACCGGGAAGTAATGTCGGGTCATTTCGAGGAATTTCATTGTGCTAAATAACACTTTTGATGATTTTTTTTTGGCCTCTGCCATAATATTGAAATTTCTGAAAGACAATTATTTTCTGAATCGGTTCCTGCTTCATGATTAGTGTGACAAGGAACGGTAATGGAAAAGTGTTTTGATTAGACCATGTTATTGTCATTAACAGAGCGATAAAAAGGGGCCCGCTTTTTATATTATAGTCCCACTAATGAACAGAAAACAAGGTACTACCCTAGAAAAAGCCTCACAGATCGATTTTTTTTTAAGGATTTATTTATTTGTTTGTTTGTTTGTTTGTTTGTTTGTTTTTAGAGAGGGAGAGGACGGAGGAAGACAGGGAGAGGAACATCAATGTGTGGTTGTCTCTCACATGCCCCCCGCTGGGGACCTGGCCTGCAGCCCAGGCGGGTGCCCTGATGGGAATCGAACCGGCAACTCTTTGGTTTGCAGGCCAGCGCTCAATCCACTGAGCCACATCAGCCAGGGCCAGAGATCAATTTCTTGAACGTGCCAAACTCACATTACTGAAATGAATACATGAAGCAATGTAAGGGTAGGGCTGTGTAAGAAATGTTAGCCGATCAATAATTAGGATGAAATGATAAATGGGTATTGTGGTGGAGTTGCATCATATTGTCTGTGTGGGAGAGGAAGACACTTTGCTCTCCGAGGTCCTTTCGGCTGGTCTAATAATTAAATCTACATGAGACAGATGAACAAGAGAAAATAACCGAGTTTACTTACCTATGTGGGCATGGGAACCCCACATACCTGAGACTCGGAGCCCCCACATACATGAGAGGTTCAAAGACAGAGAGGGAAAATGAGGTCCACGTGACCTTCTGAGCCACAGATGAGGTTCAGAAGGAAGGAAGGAAGGTCATTTACAGGATGATAAGAGCAGATGTTGGTAAGTAGCAGTTTGTCCTGACATACAGATAAGGTAAAAAAAAAAAACTCTGGCGACAGCTCTTACCACGGGCAAGGCCCCTCGTTTCAACTCTTCAAGGGAGAAAGAAAAGTTTCTCCTGAACTCGATTGCCTTCAGTTCAAAATAACTCTCGGGTCAAAGCGGCACATTTGCAGGCAGCGTGCTCTGAACCCCCATATCTTTAATCGCTGTGCCAGTTTCCGAACAGACTCCCCCTCTTCAGCTGCCCTAAGCAAATGCAGCGGCCAAGGCTTGGAAGGGCCTGTCCCGCGGGGCCGAGGTCAGAAATGCCACTAGAACTGGCAAAGGCAGGCTGGAGGGCAGGGCCGCGGCCTCTTCTGCTGCTTTTGCAGAAAATGCAGAGAATGGAGGGAAGAGCCCCTCTGAGGCTCGGAGCAAGATTGATTTTTATTGAAATGCGGCAAATGTTTATTGAGCCCTTACTAGTAATAAATTATGTGCTAGCAACATGCATGAAAACTATGTCAATTCACAAAACAGAGGTATTTACGACTATGTGTTAAGGTTAGAGAAGTATGATACCAAAACAGAATTGAGTAAACCCTATGATAAGTAGGGACACCCTGGATTTCTCCACTGACCCCACACTCAGCAACACCCAGAAGCTGCGGCCGCAGAAGACATTCTGGAAATGCGAACATCAGCCTTCGCTTCTGCTCTTCCTTGGAGCCCAGCTCACTGGGTTCTCCTGCTTTACTGTGCGCTAGAATTCACATGTCATGTTTGAAATCCCAAACCACGTGTTTTTCACTTTAATGGAAACATAAGGGATGTTCAGTAGTAACTTTGACTACATGATAATGTTTCAGATGATGCTAGGATGTAACCTTTACGTAGAATGGGACTCCATAGTAATATTTTTTTTTCTTTTTATTAGGCCAGCTAGAAGATCAATATGTAATTCGATTTATAAAAGAAAAGCTAAAGTCTATGCCTTGCAGGAATCAAGGTTACATTTTGGATGGGTTCCCAAACACCTATGATCAAGCCAAAGACCTCTTCAGCCGTAAGTTTGAATATTTACATTCAGATGAGTTGCAACTTTACTGTTCAGAGTAATAGTCACTCAATTGACATTAGTGACTGCTGGTTAAAATAGTTTATTTTTTTGAGCTATCTAGAGTGATGATATATAATAAACACAGCAATGTATATTTTGTTTTATTAGAAGACAACGAGGAGGAGGAAGAAATCAGAGGCAAAATGTTTCCCTTTGATAAATTAATCATGCCTGGTAAGTTTAAAATATTTCTCCAGGTCATATTTAAAGGAATGTCATTTGATATCTCTTTTGTACCAGAATAATCTTTTTCATGTTAATAAAGTAGGAATTTTAAGGAAAAAAAAAGTCAAACAATACGCTTAAAATCAAATCTCCGAACTAAAGAATGCCTGGGAGGGAGCAGGGTGGTGGTAAATATCAGGGGAAGTGAAGCTCTTTGAGAACGTTTATTTCTGCTGCTCCCTCCGGTCACAGAGCAAAACGTAGCCGGTCTGCGGATGGATGCCCTGAGCTCTGAGGCAGTTGGCCGGACCACCAAGCCCGGATTGCGGCTGCTCCTGCCTGTTTCAGGAGCCAGTGAGGCTGTGGTGTTTTAGAGAAGACATTCAGAGTCCAGAGCTGAGACAGGGCCCGTAGAAACCTTTTCAGTTTACTGTTAACCCCACAACAAGTTTGATTCTATATATATTGACACAGAGATTTCGCAATGTACTTTTGAAGGAGAAGTTTAAACAACTTATCCCATGAAAAAGGAGTTGCTGAGTAACTAACAGGCATTTCCTCTGACCTCATCGTGAACTTTAAAAGTTTCTTTCTTTGAAATCATTTTGCATGAGGCGTAATCATAGGAGATAATTTGGGGCCATAGGGCGAATACAAGCTATTTTCAACAACTTAGTACAAGGCGGTGCCTCAGAGGGCGAGGCTGCCCCCCCCCTTAGTTCTTACAGTTGTTCTGATAATAATAAAATTGACACAAGGCTAGAGTATCGGGAGGAAAAAAAACAACCTAATGCGTGTACACGGGAGAACCATAAGAAGATGCTCAGACCTTAAAATGAGACTCAAAGAAATGATGGAATCAGACACATTTTTATGCTTTTTTAGACAAAAAAATCATAATATAACTTGATGAGAACTTGGCAGATGCAAGAAAGTTAGTGCTCATTAAAAAGCAACCTAAACAAGTGTTGGGTATTCCTCTTAGTCAGGAATCTACACAAAGGTGGGGCTCAGGAGTGAAGGGCAAAGGCGTCAAGGCTTGTTTAGACAGGTGTCGATCAGGTGGCCTCAGCCTAAGGCGCAGGGAGGGTGCCGATCACATGGTGGCAGATTTACCTCCTGCTTTCTCCCTCTGGGGACCTGGCCTGCAACCCCAGAGGGAGAAAGGAGGACAGAGAGGGCAGGGTTTTCTTCTTCCCCAGACAGTTTTTTAAGTAACTTTAATTCAAAATAATCGACTTGCCATGGTGGGATATCTTGGGATGTCCTGCCCTGGGCCTCGACAGTTGAACTCAGAAGGGCCTGCTCACTGGTGTCAAAGCCCCCAAGAAAGTCGGCTCATGGCCGTCACCCTCTCCTCCTCTTGGTCCGTCACCCTCTGCTCCTCTTGGTCCAGGCCAGTTTACGAGGGAGTGAGGGGGCCACGGGGACCCCCAGCAAGCAGCCGCCTCAGGGATGGAGGCTTACGGCGGCAACACGAAAGGGATGGGTTGTCTCAAATTTCCTGTTCACAGATGTGCTGGTCTCCCAAAAAGTTAAAGAGGAAGGTCAGCTGCTCTCAATAACAAGGTCTAGTCAGCTAATGCGAGTTTATCACTTCTGGGCAATGTGCATTCTTTGCAACCCCTGTTATAAATCCTCATGTCCTCACAGAGGCATAAATAGATGACATTCAGCTCAACGAGCCATTTGTCTGACGCCGGCAGCACGGCAGACGGGAGCTCCTTGAAGCTCCCTACAGGCCTGCGAGGCGGAAACGACTCCCGTGCTTACCATTCCAGAAGCCAAAGCCCGGTGACTCAGCCCAGCCCGCTCCACCCGTGCACGGCAGGGCTTACGTTCCAGCCCCGCCGTTCTCCCCCCACGGCTCCAAACCCCAGGATCAGCGGAAGCCCTCCGTAAGATAAGGAGATGGGGACAGAGGTAAAATGACGAAAGATTCTGAATCATGGTCCACTGGGCTGCCCTTTCTTTGTGGACACAGTCCAAACACGTCTGAGATGTTCACTCTGTGGAATGTTTAGCATGTCTTTGGTAAATTACTCTTTCCAGAAATTCTTGTTATTTTTTGATCTCCCTAAAAGCAGTTAGAGCGTTGCCTCATTTGCACCCGCAGGATCTTAGTGTCTGGAGATGAGTGAGTGAGGGCACAAGAGGTGGATGCCACTGGAAGAATTTATTCCGTTTCCCCAGGGAAGGGGGCGTGCAGGGCAGCGGGAGGAAGTGCCAGCCTCGGGCAGGAGGCAGAGGCGGGAAGCAGGGGCAGGTCTAGGGCACAGCCTCTCCTGGGGTTCCCGTGGGAAAGGCAAGGCAGGGCAGAGTCAACAGCTTCTTTAGAGGACTGGACTGTTTGCGTAATGCCAGCGGGTAGTGGTCTCGTTACCTGGCACCGGGCGCTAGATGGTTTCAGGCAGGGGGAAAGTTGGCTTGGCCTACGTTGCATAAAGAGGGTAGTTGGCTTGCATATAGGAGGCTTGCTCCCAATCAAGTTGTGTGCTGTCTTCAGAAGCTAGTTGGCCCTGGGAGGGGCAGCCTCCCGCATGTCAGGCAGGCCCCCTCCCAAGATGTCAAAACATCTTAAGATATGGAAAAGAGCATGATGAATACAAGCATTCGTGCTTGATTTGAGTGGAACACATTGGAATCTATGGTAATAAAGTTCCAGGGGATAAATCATTGCATTTTACCTCTGCTGTTAGCATATATCCAGTTTGATTCTTTTCAGATCTCCTGGTTGAAAGAGACCAAATTTAAAGTTATTCCTATCTGATGACTGTGGAAACATTTGCTAAAATTTAGATTTTCACACAACTCCAGGTAGCTAAATACACTGACGGCTTTGTTTTGAGTAACCTCACCAAGCAGACATCTACTTGCTGGCCACAGGTAGCCAGCACAAGAAAAGCAGACATTCTGAATAATTATCTCAAGGTACTGCAAAATCATGAAGTTCTCCCTGAATCATAAAAGATAAAGGACTCTTAAAAAAATACCGTATAATATTAACATTCTTTGAAAATTGGAAGCCAAGTATATCAGTCATAATTCACAAGATTTGACAAGCTAGAATCTTCCATCTCCCAATCATTGGAAAGAAGATACAGTATTATATTTTGAAATTTGTAGATTATTAACAGAACTTTTAAATTTTTTGGAAGTTTATTTATTTATTTTTAGAGAGAGATGGAGAGAAACATCAATTTGTTGTTCCGCATATTTATGCATTCATTAGTTCTTTTTTAATTGTATTTTATTGATTATGCTATTACAGTTGTCCCGATTTTTCCCCCTTGCCCCCCTCCACCCGGCACCCCCTACTCCCTCAGGCAGTCCCCCCACCATTGTTCATGTCCATGGGTCATGCGTGTAAGTTCTTTGGCTGCTCCATTTCCTACACCGCACTTTACATCCCCCTGGCTGTTCTGTAACTACCAATTTGTACTTGTTAGTCCCCGCACCTCTTCACCCACTTCCCTATGCTCCCCTCCCATCTGCCAACCATCAAAACCTTCTCTGTATCCATGATTCCATCTTTGTTCTTCTTGTTTCATTAGTTTGTTTTTTAGATTCAATTGTTGATAGATATGTATTGTTTGCCATTTTATTGTTCATAGCTTTGGTCTTCTGTTTCTTAAATAAGTCCCTTTAACATTTCATATAATAATGGTTGGGTGATGATGAACTCCTGTAGTTTTTCTTGTCTGTGAAGCTCTTTATCTGTCCTTTAGTCCTAAATGATAGCTTTGCTGAGTAGAGCAATCTTGGCTATAGGTCCCTGCTTTTCATGACTTTGAATATTTCTTGCCAATCCCTTCTATAGAATGATTTTTTTTTTAAGATTTATTTTTAGAGAGAAGGGATAGGAGGGAGAAAGAGAGGGAGAGAAACATAGATGTGTGGTTGCCTCTCCCACATCCCCAACTAGGAAACAAGCCTGCAACCCAGGCATGTGCCGTGACTGGGAATTGAACCAGAGACCCTTTGGTTCACAGGTGGCACTCAATCCACTTAGCCACACCAGCGAGGGTGCTAATCTCTTCTTGCCTGCAAAATTTCTTTTGAGAAATCAGCTAGCAGTCTTATGGGAACTCCCCAGTAGGTAACTAAATTCTTTTCTCTTGCTGCTTTTAAGATTCTCTCTTTACCTTTAACCTTTGGCATATTATTTATGACGTGCCTTGGAGTGGGCCTTTTTGCATCCACCTTGTTTGGGACTCTGTGCTTCCTGGACTTTCATAAGCTCTATCCTCAGCCTTTGTTTTCACTGTTAATGCACGAAGCCGACAACGTTCACGGGCGTTCCACATTCCCAATGGGCACACCCTGCCCCGGGCTCTGCACTTAACACTTTTTTTTAAAAAAGATTTTATTTATTTTTAGAGAGAGGGGAAGGGAGGGAGAAAGAAAGGGAGAGAAACTTTGGTCGCTTGCCTCGCATGCCACCTACCATGGACCTGGCCTGCAGCCCAGGCACGTGCCCTGACCAGGAATCAAACCAGCGACCTTTCAGTTTGCGGGATGATGCCCAACCCACTGAGCCACCCGTCAGGGTAACACTTACTTTTCTTGCTCTTTCAAGAAAGCATATTAGAATGCAATTTGGTGAGACTGGCATTGGTATGTGGCAAACCAGTACAATTGTTGAATAAAAATTAAATAATTCCCAAAATGTCCCAGGCTTTCTCAGGGTGCCAGCTGTTTATAATGCCCATGGCTGCTGGTCTGGGCCCCAGTGTATCCTGTACCTGCTGAGGACATCTGAGAACAGCAACTCACCTAGAAAGTGAATGTCGCTGACCTGCACTTTAATCATTCATTCACTCACTCAAATATCCACTGAACTGGGACTAGAAGCTGGAGAAACAGCTGCTTTCATAGGTTAAAAGACAGTCACAGGTGGGTGAAATGATGCTGTCATTGATACGATCCACGTGTCAAAACGTAGCTAGGCTCTGACCGTGTTGTGTTGGACATAGATGTTTCATAGCCAAAGGCATAAAGTGAGGAAAGTGCAGGATCCATGGAAAAGTAAAATCTTAAGTGGGGGCGTCCCCATTTTTATTAGTGTGGCAAATCAGCCATTAAAGCATATTGCTTATAGGCACCAACCTCTTTGGCGATTGACTGGGAAGCTGATGATAGATACCACAGGGTTATTAAAGATGTGCTATGGCAATTTCTGCTGCTTTTATTGAAAAGAAGGAAGGAAGGAAAGAAGGTAGGAAGGAAGGAAGAGGAGGAAGGGAAGGAAGAAAGGGAGGGAGGAAAGAAGGGAGGGAAAGAAAAACAGTAAGTCCAATAGCCCTGGCTGGTGTGGCTCAGTGGATTGAGTGCTGTCCTGCAAACCAAAGGGTCGCCGGTTCGATTCCCAGTTGGGGCACATGCCTGGGTTGCTGGTCAGGTCCCCAGTACGGGGCGCATGAGAGGCAACCACACATTGATGTTTCTCTCCCTCTTTCTCCTTCCCCCTTTCTCTACAAATAAATAAAATCTTTAAAAAAAAGAAACAAAAAAATAATAAATCCTAAAAACACCACTTGGTTGAACCAGACGATCTCTCGTTTACGAGCACCTGCTACTTACGTAACCTGCACCGTCACTGGGCTAACTCAGGAGCCTCTCCTTCTCTCCAGAATTCGTCTGTGCGCTGGATGCCTCGGATGAGTTCCTCAAGTATCGAGTGATAAATCTTCCCGAGAGCTTGGTGGCAGGCACCCACTACAGCCAGGACCGGTTCCTCCGGGCTCTGAGCAACTACCGGGACATCAATACTGAAGATGAGACGGTCCTCAACTATTTTGATGAAGTTGAAGTCCACCCTATTCATATCGGTACGAAATGAACTCAAAAATAATGTGACTGTGGAGAGCCACCGCGTTGAGTCAGGACCCCCCAGCCAACCTCAGAGCAAGTCCCTGGGAGGGGTGGGGGAGGGGAGAAATGTTGGAAAGTCGCAGGCTAAACAAGGCGCTTTTCCTGGGGAGTCCTCCTTGGAAACTTGGTGGTGGAGTGTTATTGTTCCGTGAAAACATATGGGTATATTATGAAGTGGAATACCAACATTTTAAAGGACAGTTCAAAGAAATGTGTTGCTTTGGGCCATCCCCCTGGCTTCCTTGGGGACAGTGTTCCATCACGGTAGCATTGTGGACACTAGTGCTCTTTGCAGAGCCCCTCCTGGCCTTTAGACTGGCCAGCTGACCCCCCTCCCCTGGTTCCCCCATAGCTACTCAGAAAAGCAAATAGCTCCGCATTGCATTTCTCCGTGTTTCCTCTAAACACTTTACTCGGAGCTTAGCTTGCAGCCAGCGTGCAGGAAACATGATCTCTGATCTTCCTCACCATCACCATCATTGTTCATGACTCCAAGTCTCAGCTGTCCTGTCTCCACTGCCCTTGGCTTGGTGAACTCCTGAACTTCCTTTCTGGTTTTCTGGGCACTTGACACTTCCTCCTCCACTGGGGACAAAGCCCTAGCTTGGTGGGAGCTTAGTGGCCAGGCCAACCCCTTGGGCCTCCCAAGGCCTCTCTCCACCTCCAAGAGCCAGAAGGGGCAGTATTTGGACTCTGGAGCACTGGGAGGCTTAGAGCTAAGGACAACAGGGAGCCCGTTCCAGTTCCGGCTCTGCCTTGGTTTTCTCATCTGTGAAACAGGAGAGTAGTCCCTGGCTTGTAGTGTGGTTCCAGATGGTAGAGATAACAGGAAGTTTCGGGCACACTGAAGGAGTTCAGCAAGTGGTAATTTTGTTTTTACTACCAATGCTAAGGCATCAAATGGCCTACAAAGAAACAGAGATAACAGTACTTATAAATTCTTCTCTGTTTTGCACCCTTTGAAGTGATTGGGTTTTACCCTCATCTGACTGTGTCTGTGTATATTGGATTTATTTTACCTATTTTATATGCAAAGCAAAGGATTTGATACCTACTACTATGGAAAGTCCTTTGCCCTATTTAATTAGAGAACTAAGAAAAAATGGTGAGCAAATTTCACAAAAATAGTCATTGTCATCTTTTCAGTAAAACCCCAGAAATTACTCAAGGAAAGATCAGGAGGACCCCAGGGAGAAACGCTGAGAGACGCAGAAGTGATGGGAGGAGGGACTGAGTGGCCACGGTGCTCCTGTCTCAGTCTGTGCCCAAACTCCACGCTGACACCGGGAGATAATAAAAGCAAAGGGGAGAAATGCATCGTCGGGACCGGGTGGGGGAGGGTGTCAAGGTCAGGAATGCAGCCTGGCTTCAGAAGGGTCTGGAACGGTCCGGAATGATGCTGGCGCCCGCATTCTCTCTCGGCCTCTCTGAACTCCACTCTGCTCCCTCACGTCCCTTTCCTCTCTCACTCTGTGAACCAGGGCCTCTCTCTCCCCTCCCTGGTTCACGTGGTGGCCTGGGGCTGTCCTGGGATCCAGAGTTTCCGTGTTACACAGGAGCCAAGCCTGGAGCTGGACATGACTTTTGGTCCTAATTCCACATTCCAAGAAGGGCAAGTCAGAGGCCACGTGGCGCCCATGTGGCCAGGTGCCGCCCCACTCCAAAGCTCCCCCCAAGGTCAGAGCAGATGTATTGCTGGGGGCCGCATTGGCCTGTGCAAGCTCCTCCTCCAAGAGAGTGAACCTTTTCAAAAATGTTTCAAAGCCTTTCCAAGCACATCAAGGTTGTAATTGCTCTGCTAGAGGAATGGAGTTCAGGCACCTGCAGATGTGAGTTTCTGTTTTTTTGTTTTTGTCTTGCTTCTACCCACAAACTGATACATTGGCCCTCTTCTTTCTGTCTTCCCTTGTCAGAATCTGGCAGTGCCTTTGGTCTAGGTCAAGGTCATGGTGTATAAACATGGGGTGGGGAAGAGAGCATCACCCTGGCTGTGCATGGAGGGGGGGGTGAGAGGCCACCGAGGGGAAGCGAGGAAGGTTGGGCGGTGCTAAGCACCAAAATGCACCCACTGCACACCCTTCTGTGCAGATTCCTTCCAAGAACTGCCAAGGGGGTGGTGTGTCCGGTTGACTCTTCAGTGACTGTGGGGGAACTTACTGTCACCAACAAGCCTTTTCTTCTCTTTTTTCTTGCTCTTGATATTAACATTAGTCAGGTAGTCTGGATTTTGGACTTCTTCCCATTCAAGCAGGCTAACTGAAATGGTTAGTTGTTTGTTTGTTTTTTAAAATAAATTAAAAGCATGTCCCTGAAGAACTGATTCTCCGAGACAAAACCGCAGAAACCAGGAAATCACCCAGTCTAGGGTAGGACTTCCTTCTGTGGAAACCCCCACTTGAAGTGTTCCAGTCTTTGGTTGAATGCTTCCAGGACGGAGAACTCACTCCTTTTGAGGAAGTCCATTCCCCTTCATCCATCCACTTAAATCAACGGTGACTGTCAGTTCGCGATGACTGGAGCCGATTCTCCCCGCCCCCCCCCCGCCCCCCTGCCCCCCTCCCCCCCCTGCACGCCCGGTGTTTGCCAGACATCAGCCTGACATTTGCCAGCGAGACAAGAAGCTCTGAAATGCACTGACAACTCGAAAAGGAAACCCCAGTGTGGTAACTTACATAACTTATCCGCCGCAAGCGTAGCGTGATAAACAATCTCCCGAATATTGTCTCAGAACGTATTGCAGGCGGGCCCCATGTGAGTGTGCGTTGACCGCCTTCCTTCCTCTCTCCTGGTATTTAAAGATGTAGGAAAACTTGAAGATGCTCAGAACAGACTCGCCATCAAACTGCTCATCAAAGAGATCGGGGAGCCCCGAAATTACGGTTTAACAGATGAAGAAAAGGCAGAGGAGGAGCGGAGGGTTGCTGAGGAATGCTTAGCCAAGGAGGCTAGGGAGAAAGCGGACCAGGAGCGCAAGGAAGCCACGGAGATGGCCGAGAAGATGGCTCGCTGGGAAGAGTGGGTAAGCGAGCGCGCGCAGGCACCTGCGTGGGCCCCCACCCGGCAAAGCCATTCAGGCCAGTTGTGCTTCCCATGCCACTAGGAGAGAAATGCCTACTGGAAATATCCCAAGTGGTAGACATTTAGTAGACATGTTAGTTTGTTTAGTTACACGTACCATTTGAAAAATGATGCCCATCATCTTTTGCTTAGTATAAATAACAGCAAGAACTAGCCGTCACCTTGGGTAGGAATACCACACATCCCTGTTCAGGTGTGACATTTTGCTGCTGGTCGACCTTAACCCGGGTGGTCAGCCTCATGCCACCCTCCTCATCCCCAGGTCCTCTCTTACAGCAGTGCGCAGGGACACGCAGCTCTCCGCGCCTCGTCGGGGCCAGCGTTCCTCACCAGAGTTCCGCGGCCGCGCCTTCGGGCAGGGCCCCCAACTCTGCCGGTCCACCTCCCATCTCTGCCCGCGCAGTCTCCTAAAATACAGATGCTGCGCGGCCCGGCTCTGCCCAGGCTCTGCCCAGGCTGTGCCTCGCATTGGACAACAGTCCAAACTCCTTTCCGCGGCCCCCAAAGTCCTCAGCGGCCTGCTGCTTCTATGGCTTCTCAGTGCATCTAAATATGCACCACCTGCGCGACTTCCTTTTTCTTGACTCTTTACTAGAAGTCATCTTCCTAATGAGGTCTTTCCTGGACATCAGCTATATTTAAAGTTTCAACCTCTGCCCCTCCCCCAAACATATCAGATGTCCTCCCTTTTACACTTTTTAATTTCTGTCTTTGCACTTATTCTATCTAATGTATGGAGGGAGGGAGGGAGGAAGGGAGGAAGGAAGGGAAGGGAGGAAGGAAGGGAAGGGAAGGACGAAGGGAAGGAGGAAGGAAGGGAGGGAGGGAGGAAAGGAGGGAAGGAAAAAGGGAGGAAGGGAGGGAGGAAGAGAAAAAGGGGAGGAAGGAAGGACGCCATTCTGCACACGTCATAGGGTTCCTGATTGTGTCCTTAGCACATATTCCTAAGGTTTGCTAGCTCAAACTCTGCACACATGGTTTGATTTTTGGCGTGTATTTCTAACCCACCCTTCCGCCAATTTACATGCTGCTCACCGGTGTCTCCCTCTGCCGCCCCCAACTCTGCTTTTCCAGTTTCTGCTCACACAGGCCACTCTGATCAAGAAAAACTGATCTCACGGTAGTTAGGAATTCACAGTGCCTCTCCCGGTGCAGGATTCCTCTGCTCCTGCTTGAGCCCTGTATCTTTTTCTTATCCTTCTGCAACAATAATTCCCGATTAGGTGGTGCAAGAAAAACAGGAATAGCCCCAGGAGACAACAGCCTCCCACATGGTCCAAACCGGGCTGTGCTCTCCTTGTTACTCTGTGTCCCAGTTTCTCCATCTGCTAGTTGTTATTTGTAAAATTAAGGTGATTATAGCACCTACTCATGGAGGAGTCGCAGCGATTAAAGAGTTAAAATATGTAAAAAATGCGCAGACAGTGCCTGGCAGTGTGAGCTCTGAAAATGTCTTCACTTCTCATAATTTTTTGCAAATAGTTTTTCTCATCTCATCCTTCCACATCATTTATGGTGTTTCTTCTGGTCTCAAAAACATTGATGTAGTCAAATCTATCAGTCTTTTCCCATTTTGATTTCTGGGTTTGCTGTCTTGCTGGGAAAGACCTCTTTTCAAAAAAAAAAAAAAAAAAAAAAAATCAGGACTCTTTACCTTGCAAGTGACAAAAAAGTAAATTGAAAATGGCATAGAAATAAAGAAAATTGATGGGTTCACCTAACAGAAAAGCCCAGAGGGAGGGCCGGCTTCAGGCGAGGCTCGCGGGAGTGGCTCAGGTGGTGTCACTCAGGCCCTGGGAGCCCTCTCTCTGCGGCATCTTCTGTGCCGGGCGGCATCTTCTGTGCCGGGCGGCATCTTCTGTGCCGGGCGGCATCTTCTGTGCCGGGCAGCACCCGCGGGCTTTCCTCCTGCGTTCGTGGACCGGAGGTGGGCTGGCCCAAGGGGCTTAGGTCCCACCTAAACCACTAGGCTGAGAAGAAGGGTTTCTCAAAAGAAGTATGGGATTATTTTTCCCAAGGGAGGGCAGCTGTATGCTGAGCAAGGGCTAACACAAGGCCAGCAGACCAATGACCTTAGACCTTCTGTTGGCACTATTATGATTTTCTCCCTTCCTCCCTCCCTCCCTTTCTTCCTTCCCTCCCTTTCATTCCTTCCTTCATCTAGGCAGCTAGAAATTAATTTCATTTAAGAAGTGAGGTAGGAGTCCAGTTTATTATTTTCTAAATGACTAGCTCATTGTTATATGTCTTCTCTGCTGGTTACAAATACCATCTTCATAATAATAACGTGGTGAACACTTATAGCACCACCTAGTTCTAATGCATTGTGGGGTGAGTTGTGTGAAGGTGTTCTCCTTCTTCTGACTCTTTACCCCACCCCCAAATGTTCTATTTGTAGAATAAGCGACTAGAGGAAGTGAAAAGAGAAGAAACAGAACTGCTACAGGCCCAGTCTGCCCCCCTGAGAAACTATTTAATGACCTACGTCATGCCGACGCTCATGCAGGGTCTCAACGAGTGTTGTAAGATCAGACCAGAGGATCCTGTTGATTTTCTCGTAAGGGATTTAGGTTCTTTTTTTTTTTTCTTTTTAATATCAATTTGAAAATACAATATACCTGAATCTAAATGGAGGCCAGTTGGACATAGAAAAAGTACATGTCTGATTGGAAAATAGCCTCTCATACCTTCGCCATTTATAATCAAAGACATTTTTTATGGAATTTATTGGGGTGACATTGGTTAGGAAAATTCTGTTTCAAGTGCACCGTTCTATACCACATCATCTCTGCATCGTATTGTGTTCGCCACCCCAAGTCAAGTCTCCTTCCATCGCCATCGGTCCCCCTTTCCCTCAGGTCGTCTCCAGACTGTTGTCTGTGTCCATGAGGTCATTTTTTTTTTTTTTCTTATTTATCTTTTTTTTCACACAGCCCCCCAACACCCCTCCCCTCTCAGTCATCAGTCTTTTTTATTTTGTTTATTTGGCTCATTATTCCATATGTAAGTGAAATCATATGGTGCTTGCCTTTCTTTGATCAGCTTATTTCACTTAGCTGTAAGATTTTTATTACTCATTTGAAAGTAAGATTTAGGTACTTTTAATTGTAAACATTAATAGCACAAATATGACTCATAAATATCTTATAACACCTACTAATTGTTGACTTGCCTTTTTTCTTCCTTTCACTTACAGGCAGAGTATCTCTTCAAGAACAATCCTGCGACGCAGTGAGGCTGGAAAAACCTCATGCCATAACCCTTCACAGAGCGAGAGATGACTTTGACATTGTAATTTGAAAAATTGCATTAAAATATGCTTTCCCAGGTTTTTGAAAATTATTTTTTTCCTGCAAGCAAATATTATGTGAAATCATTATAAAAAGCTGCCTGGCAGGGAGTGATTACTTCATTAGAACTATGTTGAAAGGCAAGTTTCCTCAGCTCGTGACACAGCTCGTGGGACAAACATTGATTTAATATTTCGCTCTTAGTCTCAGCGATCTGCACACTAATGTTGCTAGTAATTTACAGTATGGAGAAAACTGGAATATATAGTATGTGAACATGTAGGCTAATAAATTTACACAATTTGTTATGGCCCAAATACCAGTGGTATTAGAAATGGAAATAAATTAGGGTGGTCTGTGCTTTGTTGAATCACAGTAAATCAGATGTGATTGGTTTCCACAAGGCTGCTTTCTGAGTTCAGGGTCAGTACCCCAACCAGTAAGTCAGAGAGTACTGGAGACCTCTTTGTAGAAAAATTCATGTAACAGGATGAATAATTCTGGTATTTGAGATAATTAGAAAATTGCTGAATATTTTTAACAAACTAACTGTACAATGTAGACATAATCAATCAATCCTGACGGTCTCTTCCAGCTCTAAAAGCTGTAATTCCCAGAATTACACTGAATAAGAAATTTGTTTAGGTTTATTTTAATGGCGTATCTATTTGATCTTTTTAGATGTTATCTAAATATACTGTGCTATTTTTTTGTGTGTGTGTGTGCCCTGGCTGGGGAGTGTGCTGTTTTATTGTGGTAATACATAACATAAAATTTACCATTACAACCATGTTAGAATGTGTAATTCAGTGGCACCAAGTACATTCACAGTGTTGTACACTGACTGCTACCTAGCTCCAGAACTTTTTATCACCCCAAATGGAAACCCTCTCCCTGTTAAGCAGTTGCTCCCCATTATCCCCTCCCTGCCAGCTCCTAGCAACCGCTAATCTGCTTTCTGACTCTATGAATTTCTCTATTCCGGACATTTTATATAAACAGAATCATACAATAGGTGGCCTTTTGTGTCTGGCTTCTTTCACTTAGCATGTTTTCAAGGTTCATCCACGTCATAGCGTATATCAGTACTTCACCTCTCTTTATGCCTGAGTAATATTCCATTGTATGGATAGACCACATTTCGTTTAATCGTTTTATTTGTTGATGAACATTTGTTGTTTCCATCTTTAAACAGAGTGAATACAGTTGCTATGATCATTCGTCATCACGTTCCTGTTTGAACACCTGGTATCAACTCTTTTGGACAGATACCTAGGAATAGAATTGTTGTCATAGGGTGACTCCACGTTTAACTTATTGAGGAACTGCCAGCCTGTTTTTCCAGAATGGTCGCACCAGTTTGCATTTCCAGCAGCAATATAAGAGGATTCTAATTTCTCTGCATCCTTACCAACACCTGTCATTTTAGCGTGTGCGTATTCAACAGTAATGAAGTGTGTATCACATTGTGAGTAAGCACCTTTCCATGTGCTTGCTGGCTACTTACACATCCTCTCTGGGGAAATGTATATTCAAGTCCTTTGCTCACTTTTTATTTGGGTTGTTGGTCTTTTGTTATTGAATTATAAGAGTTCTTTATATATTCTGGATATAAGATACATGATTTGCAAATATTTTCTCCCATTTAGTGGTATTTTCACTTTCTTGACGGTCCCTTTTAAGGCATAGAAGTTTTTAATTTTGATGATGTCCAATTTACCAATTTTTTCTTTTGTCTCACTGCTCAATTTTTGAGCCTTAAATTTTATTAAAAAATAAGTAAATAAAAAGAACGCATGTTCAACAGTTTGAAGTCATTAGTTTTTGATACATCCTTTTCACGCCTTCACGATGACTACATTTCATGACATAGCTTCTTCCTTCACTGAGCAAACCCAAGCAATCGGAAGAGTCCGTCTGCTTCTCAGCCCTCCAATCTAGTGTCCTGGCCCAAGACACTACCTTCTCCTACCCGGACTGCTGCTGTCACCTTGCCTGCTCCTTTTGGTGACCCCTCTCAACGTATCAGCAAGGGGATCTTGTTGAAACAGAAGCTCAGATGTCTGCTCGGAGCCCTCCTCTGCCTTTCCCTCTCACAGGGAGTGAAAGGCCAAGTCCTGACCTGGATCTGTGAGGCCCGATGGATATAGCCCGGCCCCTCAGGAGCTCACTGTCTCCCTCACTCAAGCCTCGTTGCCAAGAACAGTCTGTTTCGGGGTCTTCGCCTGAGCTGCTTGGCCCTCACATATCCACGTGCTCACTCTCATTTTATCCACGCTCAGCGCAAATGCCCCCTCAGAGGCCTCCCCACATTGTCCTCTCTGTGACACTCCACTGTTTTCTTTTCTCTGCTCACCTTGACCTCGTTTTATATTCCTATGTGTCTGTTGTCTGTCTCTCCCACCAAAATGTAAGCTCCATGAGGATAGGGATTTTGTTTTGCTTCTCTGTATCTCTAGAGACTAAAAAAGTGCATAGCACATGGTAGGGGTATAATAAATATTAGGGAATAAAAGCTATTTAGCTGAATTTTTTTTTTGCCCAGCCTTTTTTTTTTTTTTTTTTTTTTTTGTAACTAAGGCCAACTTTCAGTCATTCAGTTAAGTCCACATGGCTGTGAGGGGACCCTTAAGTAATTCTGAGGGTCACCAAGAGGCTTCCCTAGTGCCACTTAGGTAGAAGAGGGTATGGGGGATAAATGGTGATGGAAGGAGACTTTGGGTGATGAACACACAAGACAATATACAGACAATGTGTTATAGAATTGTATACCAGAAGCCTATGTAATTTTATTAACCAATGTCACCCAAATAAGTTCAATTAAAAATTTCATAATTAACCAGAATGTGATACACATTCTGAGTTTAGTACATTTGGTTCTGGCCCCATATTAGGTGCTATACACAAAGTAAGCCTATTTGATAGAGCAGGCCAACCAAGAGATGGCCCCTGGCGATCTCAGCCCGCAGGTCTCTGTGGCTTTGTGTAATCTCTTCTCTGAGTGTGGGTGGAGCCTGTGATTTGCTTCTCTCCAGTGGAATAAAGCAACACTTAGGTGACAGGAGACTGTGAGGTTACGCTAGCAGGCTCTACTGTCTTCTCCACTCTATGAGCCTGGTGAAGCAAGCTGCTTTATGGGAGAGGCCCACTTGCCAGGAACTGAGAGGGCCCTTAGCAAACAACTAGCAAGACACGGACACCTTCAACCTACCAGCTTCTAGGAACCAAGCCCACCAACCGAAAGGGGTGGGAGGGAATCCTTCCACAGGGGAGCCTTCACAGGAGACGCCAGTCTCAATGCCAGGAAGGTAGCCTTGCTGAAGAGGACCCAACTGAGCCACATCTAAATTCCTGACCCACAGAAGCTGTTTGACAATACATGTGTTGTTTTAGGCAGCTTAGTTTGTGGCAGTTGTTACACAGCAATAACTAATATAATTAACAGGCATTATTCCCTCCCAGGAGTTGGCAATCTGTGGATCACTGTTATGGACAGAATGTAGGCCCCAAAATTCGTGAGAGCATTAACGCCCAACCCTGCTGCCTGTTTGGAAATCGGGCTTCTAAGGAAGTGATTAAGATTAAGTGAGGTCATAAGGGCAGGCTGATCCAGTAGGTTTAGTCTCCTTATAGGAGGAGACACCAGGGACCTAGCACAGGAGCAAGCATGCGAGTGCTTTCTGCCTGACTCTGCCATGGGAGGACACGGTGACAATACTACTGTCTGCAAGCCAGGAAGAGAGTCCTCGTGGGAAAGCGGCCATGTTGGTACTAAGATCTCCGACTTCCCAGCCTCCGGAAGTGAGAAATAAATGTCTGTAGTTTAAGCCACTCATTCTGTGGTATTTTGTTATGGCAACCTATGCTAAGGTAATTACCAACTGGTTTTTGGTTTATTTTAGCCAGATTAACTGCAGAATTGAAATGACTGCACTGAAATACCTGGGCCAGTCTAAGTTGTTGTTAACCAATCAGTAACAATATGTTACTGTGCCAATATGGGCCAATATGAGTCCGGTGGTTTCGTGCTCTGGGCTAGGACTAGTACTAAACAGTATAATCAAAAGGTCCCTACCTTCATGGAACACGTATTTTAGTAAGGATGACAATAAATAATTTAAAAAATTAACAAGGAAGTTCTGGTTATGTGATAAGGCCTATAATTCAAGTAAACAAAGTTTGGATAAGTGGTCTGGTAAGGCATCTGCGAAGCAGCGACACGTGAGCTTTGACAAAGAATGAGTCACCCATTGAACTAGGCAGTACTGCAGATGGGGGACAAGTGTGGGGCCTCGGGGTGGAAAGGAGCTTCGCATGTTTAAGAAGAGAGGCGCGGGGGAGGGGGGCTGAAGCACAGCTGGGCAAGAGAAAGAGCCCGAGATGAGGCTGGAGAGAAAATCAAAAGCCTGATTCTGCAGGGCCTTGTACGCCACTGTTAAGTTCTATTCTAAGGGCAACTGAAGCCATGAAATTGGGTTTTGATGCCGGGGGTGACATCTATAGCATATTCCTGCGTGGATAAGGCACAGGAGAACAGGAGTGGGAGTGGGAGTTCTGTGGCGACGACAGTGGGCTAAGAGAAGACAGTGGCTAAGACTGCGGTGGCGGCAGAGGAGATGGAAAGAGAGGATGGATTTCAAACAGATTTAGGAGGTGGAATCAATGGGACTTGCTCACAGCTAGGATATGGGTAAGGAGGGAAAGGAGCAAATCAAGGATACTGATCTGCTGCAGAAACTAGCGGAGGCACAGGTTTGGGGCTGGGTCTAGTCAACATGCTGTTGTGGTTCTTTCCTGCAGGCAAATGGTAGAATGTGCATTCTTCAAAACATAAACTTACGAACATCTAAAAGGGGAATGAACCTTTAATGCAAAGACAGCTCGAGTACAGTACTCATTTGATGGAAGTGCTTATGTTATTTTTACTTAGTGACTCATACATCTGGTTTTTTATTAAACTTTTTAAAAAGGATGCACCAATAATAGTCCAATGAATCACTGTATTTTTGGGGTAAAAACCTCCACTGCACACAGTATCTCCAATTATCACCCTCTAAGAGACAAACACGACCCAGGTAGCTCCCAGTATGGGAAGAGGTTCTGCTCTCAAACATATTTGTTGCATTTTTTTTTTAATTTGAATGCTCCATGGACCTAAGAGAAAGAGAACCAGTTTAAGAATTCTTCCCACTCTGTGTGACATTGTTGCGTGGAAGACACAATCTGAAGGCAACTTAGTACCAGCTGAAGCATCTTCCCCATTCTGAGCAGTGGGTGGAAAGGGCGCGGGGGTAAGGCCGGCGTGGGGCGGAAGGGCAGTCAGTCACAGCAGAGACGGGCAGCAGCTGGAGGGCGTGGCCAGGGCTCCGAGGACAGCAGGGCAGGCTAACAGCACAGGGAGCCTCCTGTCCAATAGACTTGTAATTGGCTTATCTCACGCTCCACTTTCCGTGGCTCAAGTTTCATCCTTAATTGGGTCCTAAACGTTGGGAATATGCAAACACCTAGCCCATTAGTCACATGTGACATTTTCATTGCATTAGATTGCAGTGACTGGGTGTATTTGTCACTACAGGAACTGAAACTTTATCCCCTTAACGTGATTCTTGGCATTCGGAGTTTACAACCTCTTATCGCGAGCCCAGTCATCTCTCCTCAGCTCCAGAGGCATGTTTTCAGTGGCCTGACAGGCATTTCTGAAGTTCTCAGAGGCGCTGCAAAATCCACCCATGTGAAACTCACCCACTCAGCCAGTTACCTTCCTGTCTCTCATTTCATTCACTGGGAGCTCCATTCACTGTCACCCTCCCTAGAACATTTTTATCTTCCACTCCATCACTTCTCACAACCAGGATTAACTACGTGTCGAAATCTCTCAACTTGTTTCCTTCAAGCTTCATCCTCTCTTACCTATCCTCCAACTTGAAAGTCTTTCCTGGTGCAAATTCATCCCTACCCCTTGAAAAATCTTTCAAAAAATATGATCTTCCGTTTTCAAAACTTTCAATGGCTCCCCCACCCACACACAAAAAGATTAAATCCAAAGTTCTCAGTGGCCCCAGGCCTCAGCTCAAAGGCCAGCACCTCTGAGAGGCCCTGCCTGACCACCCGACCTAAAACTGACCTCTCGTAACCCTAACATAGATTGCTTTAATTCATGGATTTTAATCACACCCTGTAATTCCCACCTCTGATTATGGGTCCATTATCTGTCCCCTACCCCCTCTACCTTAGGGTCTAAGAGCATCAGAGCTCTTCACTGTAGTTTCGTAGTGGAAAGGAACCTCAGCCTGGCACCTTTTGCTTTATTTGTTAATTTTCCCCTCTACCTGATATACTCACCAAACCGTAAGTTTTCTTATCGGGATCTCTTTTCCTTCCTCTGCCCCTTCCTTCTCCCTTCTTCTCCTTTTCTTAAAGCTTCCTCTGGCTGAAAGGCTCGTCTCCTCCTCTCCCCCTTCTGAACCTTACTTTTCCTATCAGAACATTTCTTAAGTCATCTCCTATGTGAAACTGACCTTGATTCCACCTGCAGATACAGTTCCTTTTAACCGTCTTCGGCAAGCAACGTGGCACCTGGCACATTCCTGGTACTGAATAAATATTCTTTAGTTGGGCTGCCTCAGTCTAAGGAGAAAACGCTGCTGAGCAACTAAGGCCTGCCGTCCACCTCGTCTTCCCGGCTGAGAGGCCAGCAGAGGACCGCCACCAGCAGCTCGAGAAGTTCCCAGTCTTTACTTCAACAAGTACATTACCAGTGCCTACCTGCGTGAGCAAGTTTGACGACTGCAGTTTTCCAGTTTAGCTGTTTTCTCTGGATCTGCCATGTCAATCTTTTACAGGCCCACTACTGGGTCCTTAACCAAAGCCACCCTGATGACAAGAGGGTAAGAAATAAGTAGAACTGAGAATCAAATCCAAGTCTGTCTCCAGATAGTGCTGTTCTGGATAGAGAGTAGAGAAAGGACGGTCACGTAGTCAATTTAAAATTTTCTAGTAGCCACACTTAAAAATGTAAAGAGAAACACGTCAAATTAACTTTTGTAATTTTTCCTTTAATGCAGCATATCCACGACGATATAAAATCATCAGCGAGGCATTTCACACTGACATCTGTGAAATCCCCGGGCGTTTTGCAGTGACAGCACTTCTCACGCGGACGAAGTGCTCAAACGGCTATCTCACTGGGCCACGCCGCTTGACACGCTGTGTTTTCCCCACCGGGCCGTTAGTCCTCAAACGCTAGTCCCACCAGATGTTCGGGGGAAAAAGGGGAAATCCCCTGTCACGTTTCCGGAGTATATTTAAAAGAATTTAGAACTTTAAGTTTACCGTACGTATTTGATCCCTTCCTGCTTCTGCCTCCGTCAACCTGTGTGACGCTTTATAACGCGTTCTCATTCCACGGTCGAAGGAGCGTTAGAGTCGCGTCTGGCTCGGGCACGGCCTCGCTAACTTTTGCCGGGGGCGTGGGAGAGGGCTCCCGGTGCCACCCCAGGGAGCGATTAGGGCTGGGAAACGCAGCCTCGGGGAAACTATGGCCGAAACAGTGCCCGCCTAAATTCCCAGTGGCTGCTGCCGCCCAAGTTCCCACAATTTGTTAGAGCGAAATTAACTTCTGTTCCAGAACTGGCTTTCATCGTCCTACCCTGCGAATTTATTCATTCAACAAATACTTCTCGAGCGTCTGAGTACATGCATTAGAGGACCAAACAGCCGAAAGGCGCCGTCTCGGGGGAAGGTGGGTCCTAATAACATCATATCTGAGCCCTCTGTACCCAGCTCTGCGAAGCACCCCTCTCGCACGACCACGTTCAACAGGGCGAAGTTTATTCTCACTTTGCACCTCAGTATGAAGAGGCTGGGTAACTTGTTACAACCCCAAGGCACCGACCCACGTGGCCGCGCTCTGGACCCCGCTTTCGGGTGGCATACGGGGCACGCCTGGGTGCCTCAGTCCCTTCCAAGCGCCGCCACAGGCGCCATTCAAGGGGAGGCGCAGCCGCCGTGACCTCAGGCGACACGAACCGCGGGGACCTCACAATGCGCCGGAAGCGGCTCCTCGCGGTCGCAGGGCCTCTCCGGGTCCTTCCTCGCGCCGTCTGGGCTGCGTCGCCCCGCTCTCCAACGGGAACGTCTCCGCTCGACCGACGACCCGCTAACCAGAGCTATCCGCATCATCCCCACGTGACGCACGGCACCCCTAGCAAAAACGTGCCGGGATTAGAGCGGAAATTGCTCGACCGTCGGCCATTTCATAAACTACCTTTCCCGTGAAGCTTCGCGGCTCCGGGAGGTCTCTGCGCAGGCGCGCGCACGGCGTGCGTGGCGGCGTCAGTGGTTCTAGAACGTTGCTGTGGTAGCGCTCGGGCGCCATGTTAGGACGAAGGGGAAGGAGGAGAAGCGCTTAAAGCGGCGGGAGCGGGTGCGGGAGTGGGGTTGGACCCAGGGCTGCGGCAGGCCCCCCTCCCTCCCGCCTCAGTGGATCATGCCCAGGGCGGCAGCGGCGGCGGTTGCGGGGGGGAAGTGACTGGGCGGTGCCGGCGCAGGAAACGATGCCGTTGTAAGTAATTTGTATTCTATTTTCTCTCGCACGCTGGCGGGGCCTTGGGGGCGTCGGGGAAGCAGGACGGGGTGGCGCGCGACCCGGGCCCTCGCCCCATGGGGGTGTCCGGCGGGACTGGGGCTCTTCCTGTTTCCTCACCCACTCGCTGCCGCACTTCCCCTTGTGCTTGGTTCCCACTTCCCCCACCTCTTCCTGGCTTCTGCAGCCGTCGGTCCGGGGGCCTTCCCCTTCCGGAAGAGCTGGAGGATTCTCCAGCCCCACCACTGCCGCTTCTCCGCCCCGGCCGAAAACCCCAAATTGTGTCCGGCGGCGTGGGGCAGGGAGGCCGTGCTCCTCGCAGGGTCTGCACGTGGGGTGCGGGCTCGCCCGCCGCGCCTCCTCGGCGCCTTTCGCGGCTCCAGTTCCCTGTCTACCTGCGCTGTGTTTCTGTCTTCCCGTTTCTGAGATGCTCAAATCGTGCGCTAGTGTTAACCGGCGTCCACGTCGGAGGTGGCTTGAGCACTGGTTAAAAAGCACGGTTTTGGGCGTTGAGCCCCGGCTATTTGAACGCTCCCTCCCCAGTCCTTCCACCGCCAGGAATGGGGCACTTGCCAGGGGGCCCCCGAAGCGCGCCAGGTTCTGGCTTGCTCGCCCTGTTTTGTTTTGATGTAGCGTGATTGCAGCCAGCTTCCCTCTTCCTCCACCTCTTGGTGATAACTTTTGTGTTTTTCTGATTGTAGACGTAAAGCTAGTCCATCTGTGCTTTCTAATCTCACTAAACCTTCATGTTCTACTTTTTTCCTTCCTTGTAGAGAGTTTAAAAAAGTTTTCCCTTGCTCATTGAAAGAATGAGATGTAATTTTAGAAATCGTTGTTGAGCTAGAAAGAGCACAGCTTATGTTCTGCGGTTATACAGCAGTGTTGAGGCCTAAATAGTGAGACTGCATTTCTTTCGTTTTTGAAGATTTCAGAGTAAGAGTGCCCCTTGGAGACGAGGGACCGAGTTTTCTTTGTAGCTCCAAAACGAAGCATGTAATTGACACTCGGAAGTTTTTTACCTGAATGCAAAATAAAGGCTTCATGATTTCTAGGCATCTATTGTACCACACCAGGTGTGTGTGTGTTTTTTTTTTTTTTTAAAGTACAGACAATTTCCTTTTTGCACCTATCACCGGTTATAATTTTCCAATTTTATTTATACAGTGTGGGCAAAAGTAGGTTTACTTTTTATGTACAGTTGTGAGTATGCAAAATAGTTTATTTCTTGAGTTATTACTTACTTTATTTCCCATAGAAGCAACTGTAAACCTTTTGCCCCACCCTGTGTGTGAGTACGTGTGTGTGTCTGTCTTTACAGGTGAGCCTCTAGCTTTGACAAAGGCTTCAAGGACATCTGTTGCATTTTACACAATGTTTTCTCAAGGAATTTCATACTCCTCACCCGCTCCTGTCATTTTAAGAGTCTTATCAACGTATTTCTGTAATGAGAATGTTTATTAGTTTCAATTAAGTATGCAGACCTAAGATCTTGGAATTTGCAAGATCCCTGTTAATTGATTCATCCTTAAATGGAAAGGTAAAAAGAGGCACCAGGAGAACCGAGTCTAAGCAATACTTTCGTGGCCTTTTTCAGTTCAGCAGCAATTAAAATAAACCTAAATGTTTGCAGTGATGCCATGTGACTTCTTTGTGTTGGCTGACATTTTATTGCTGCTTTTGAAAAGGGGACTTCTCTTTCTGATGATGTCAGTACTGAAAATTGATCATGATAGGAAATTTATGCTTCATAAGGCTTTCATGAGGAAATAAGTAAATATTTATTTGTCTTTCTTTCTAGAAATTAAAATTCCTTTTGTACCTACTTTTTCCAAGCTTTCTTTGAGGAGCAAGGTATACATTTCCTTGGAAAACCTAAGAGCTTCAAATTCTTCGACAGTGGTTCAAATGTGTAAGATGGAAGACAGAGTCCAGACAGCAGGTTTCCATGTGGATAGGGCTTCCCGGTGTGTTCCTGAAATGTGAACAGCGTGGCTAGTGTTTCAGTAGCTCTCCCTCCCGTTTTTAGCCTAAGTGTGCAGCAGAAAGACCAAAGCCTGCCTAGTTTAGCAGACTTTTTGCCTCATTAATTTGCTTTGTTTTTCATGTCCTGGTGTCACATTGACATTAACTTTGTTACTTTGATGTTTGGAACTCTGATTTCCAGGTTATATAATGTTTGACTTCACTTTCATTTTTGGTGTGCCTGTCCTGTCAAATGTGGGTAGGTGGGTAGGGTTGAAACATTCATAGGTGGGTTGTCAGAATGGACTGAATGGACTAAATTAAAATAGATTATTGAAGTTGAGGTCATTATGAAATGTGAACAAGTGTCCCTACTTTGTTTAAAAATCATATGTAATTGTATATATAATTTTGAAAGACTCATATGACTTAAGAGCCATGATGATGAAAACCTCCAACAATTTTGGCAGTAATGGGGTTCATTAATAGAGTTTCTCATGTAGGTATGATTGATATTTTGGGCTGTATAATTTCTTCCTGGGGCTGTCCTGGGTATTGTAGGATGTTTAACAGCATCTCTGACCTCTGTCTGCTAGATTTCAGAAGGCCCACCCTCCCCATCTTCCCAGTGGTGATGACCAAAAAAGACACTGCAAAATGGGCTCTGGGGGCAAAATCTTTTTGTTGAGAGCCAGTGCATTAATACAGAGTGTCATGCCCCTTTGGAAACCATGGTCAGATTTCTGTCTTACTCTGTGCTAGTCAGATCATTATTTGCATCAGGTTAGTTTTTGCTGTGACACTTGAAGAGACTTTAAGGAGAGCAACCAGTGTTAGGGACCTAGCATTCATGCCACATTCATAGACTGTCGTGGAAGTTACTGGAAGAGAGATTTAGCAACATTTGGGGGAGACGAGCTTTTTTCCTAAATATTTGTGGGTGTTTGGGGGGGGGGAAGGGAGGATTGGAGTAGTTTTCCTGTAGTGATCACAGGTACGTTTGGGACCTGTTGGTGGATGGTAATATTGTGTGTGGCAGTGGTTCTCAGAGGCCGTCTGTGGATGCTGGAGGGGCAGGGACCCCTGAGGTCCTTTCAGGGGGTCCGTGAAATGCAAACCGTTCCCCAGCAGCGCCGAGAGGATAGGTCGTTTACCCTGGTGGCGCCTGCGCGGGTGCTGCGGTGCCCGTGGCGTGGGAAGAGTCAGGGCAGAGGCGGCACATGGTACTGGTAGCCATACTTCTTCACTGCACAGTTTAGGAAAAGCCCTTGATGAAGCAGTGATGTGGATTTTATTACATCTTAATCCTTGAGCTTGTCTTTTAAGTATGCTGTGATAAAATGGGAAATATGCGTAAAGGTGTATACTAAAATGTAGAACGGTTGTTTTGAGAAGAACGCATGTATGGTGGTTTGATTTGTGAACTAAACGAGTGCTTTTTCTCATGGAGTTCTGTTTTTACCCGAAAGAACGAGTGATGAACTATGGGTATTCATATTTGACTATTTAACTTTACTTGAAAATGAAGTGAGCCTGTATCTTTAAGGAAAAATAAGGCAGTATTTGTGGCCAGTGATAAAAGTTGAGCTTTCAAGCAAAAATTAGGATTTTGGAAAGCTCAATTCTGCCACTGTGAGCTTGACAGCATCCCAACAATGTAAAATGTTTCTACTTAGACTGGTGGTGATATTAATGAATAGAGGTTTGTTGTTTTTTTTTTTTTTTTTAAAGTGTATAATGTGTCAACATTTGGAAGACAAGTGTAATTCGGTGAACCCACATCTTCCCAATCACCAGTTATGGTGTAATAAAAGTATACATGGGTAGAATAGAAGGTAATTCAAAGTACAAGATAGACCAGTGGATCTTCATGCAACAGTACAAAGGGTTTATTGATCTGGTTTCAGCTTTCATACCATAACTAATCTCACTGAAGTTGCCACTTGGGGAGTTTTGGTGTAGTATCAAAAAATATCCACAATTATTTGAAAAGGTTATTAAATTATTCTCTCTTACAAAGGTGTGATGCTAAGTTTTCTGCATATGTGTCTACAAAAACAGCTTATTGAAAGGGATTGAATGCAGAAGCAGTTGTGGGAATTCAGCTGTCCTTGATTAAGCCAGAATTGAAGAGATTTGCAAAAATGTAAAACAGTGCCATGCCATATTTCTCACTATATTTTTGTTTTGAAAAACAGTTGCTTTGAAAGAAGTTATTTCTGCTTAACCTGTAATGTATTTCTTGTTACTTAAATGAGTAAATATTAAAGAAACATCCTAGTTAAAATTTCCACTGCAGTGAATACTGGCAGACATAATCCATATAGCAGAAGCTCTCTCAGGTTCTCGATAGAGTTTAAGAGTTATAAAAGGTTCTGAACTGCTGCTGTATAGTAATGGCTAGCAACTGCGCCAAGCTGCTGTTTCCAGTGGTAGTGCCAGGGAAGGCTCTCTGGTGGTTTTTAAATGTAGCCTGGAGGAAAGGACGCGTGATTTAAAGACATTTTTTGTTGTCAGTGAAAAACAGTGCATTAGGTAATTGCTAGGGAAGACAACCTCTGAGAGAGTTTCTCAGATTTTAGGATTTAGATATTTTGTAATGAATTGTTTGCTGCTTAATGAATGTTGGTTATCATTTTGAAGTGTGGTATTTTACCTTAATCATGTTTTCAGTTCACTCATTTTCATGGAAAAGTTGGGAAGGAAGTATTGGAGTTGAGTAAATTTATGAGCCTGTTCAGTTCTATTCACCATAACTCCCACCATTTCTTAGGCAAAAGCCTTCTGGCTTGATAACATACTTTTAAAAAATATTTGGCTTGAGCCCAGGCTGGTGTGGCTCAGTGGATTGAGCACCAGCCTGTCAATCGAAAGGTCGCCAGTTCGATTTTCCAGACAGGCACATGTCCCAGGTTGGGGGTGCTGCGAGCAACCAATTGATGTTTCTCACCCTCTCTTTCTCCCCCCCTTCCTCTCTCTCTAAAAGTAAACAAAATCTTTAAAAAAGTAAAATATTT